TTTTTTTTTTTTTTTTTTTTAACACGTTGCATCACCACTTCTTTTATAGGGACAAAAATATAACCCCTCATATTCATGAAAATAAATCCAATTCATGTATAAGTTATAATCCATTAATCACGAATTTTAATTTTGTACTAAAAATGTAAGTTAAAATAGAAAATTTAAATTTAAAATTACCTTTAATTTTGAAATTTAAAGCTTATTATCATTTATGTTACAACAAGATCATCCATACCAACTTATTAAAGAAGATCTTTTATGATAATAGCATTAACACTTAAGATTGTTGATGATCAATTCTTATAATATGGTGTTTTCCAACTTTGGGTTACTTGGAAAATTTAAAATACTTCAATAACTTACTTCATAGTATGTTAGTACGGCTCAAACAGCTAGAAATCAGAAATATCTTAATAGTAATAGAATAATGTTACAATGGATGACCGCATGGTAAATTGTAGAGTCATAATGAATGGTCCCAAAACCAACATAATCATGTGCAAGACGAAATTTCCTAGTGCCATCCATCACTGCCACTTCTCTCACACACGAACTGAGCACTACTTTCCTGCATTTCAAGAGCACTGCCTTTGTCCTCCTCATTGGTGAAGACAATTGATGTTAGAACATGAGTATTAGATCCATCTAAAGCCGAAGTAACATACATAACTTGGGCTCATCCAACCAGCGCCGAGCTTTCTTCAAAACCTTCCGTTACTGGGTCATCAATGACAGATGATTGATGATTCCAAATCTTCAAAATATTTTTACATTTTTGTTTCTTTAGGTTGACCAAGTTTAATTCGAAAGTAATTCAAATTGCATTTAATTCGTAACGACTCTAAAAAATTTACATCATATTTCATGTAAGACTTCCGAATAAAACAATATAAATTATATTGAAAAATTTATCGTGCAAAAATAATAATTAATTGAATTTAAAAAAAAAACAAGTTAAACGTCTTTTTTGAGGCGTACGTTTGATGCATATTTAATTATTTTCGATATCCGTTTGGACCATTCGATATGAAAACGATGTAGTTTTCGAAACAAACTTTTACATGGCATAGATGATTTGTGGATTCGGATAGCACATGAACGCAAATGAATTTTTAAAATTAGGATATTATCGAAATTCTCAAAATACTAATTTCAAACGCCCAACTTTAACATGTCATAACTTTTGCTATAGTTGACTACTTCGTATGCCATTAATGAGTGAAAAACTAGACCATGAGCACTTCAAAATTGTATTAAGAATGTAATATTTTGACTTCATTTGACATCCCGACGAGTGCATCAAAATAGATCGTAAAAAAAAATAAAAAATAAAAATAAAGGCAAAATTTTGTGGGGTCATGTGGGGGTGGGTCCGCCCCTGAACATAGCTAGAATCATAAAGTTTGACAGCACAGTAGTCATTGTTGATAGATTAAAAACCTGTAAGGAAGGAAATAATGTCTTAAGCTTGATGTGTGTAATCAACTCTGAACTTTATTGCGGAAGTGATAAGAAAAATACTGTGGACATGATCTAGAAATGGTGGATAAATATAACCTTAGGAAAGGCCAAGATCCGATTGTTAAAGAGAGAACCACGGAAATAACGTCAAGAACTAGTGGGCAATGAAGGAACCTTGTGGAAGGTTAAATATCGATCAATAAAGTGAACCTTGAAAAAACAAGGCTAAGAACCGATCAATAAAGAAAACTTTTATAATAAGGTCAAAATTTGGTTGATAAAAGAAATATTAGAACAAGCTCTATTATGATATTACCAATCGACCTAAAAAGGGAAACCTCATAAAAGTCATGAAACAATTATGCTGCTTTACCGGGGCCACATCGGCCCTAGCCATCCCCACCTATCACAAGGGGGCCAGCTTGCACCGTGACATTACCAGGGCTAATGTGGCCCTGGTAGTGTAGCATGTTTCCCCATAAAAAGGGAAAGCGAAAACTTTACAAAAAAGGATGAAAAACCTTAGAAATGAGGTCATAAACCATTATATTGAATAAAATAAAATAAAAACCATACGATAAGGTTGAAAACTATAGACAAAGAAATAAATCAAATGAAGCGTAGAAAAAAAATAAAAATCTGATGGTCAATTATATATCAAAATTGAGGTTGAAATCTGTACAACAATGAGTTCTCCGTTAAAGAGAGAACCACGGAAATAACGTCAAGAACTAGTGGGCAATGAAGGAACCTTGTGGAAGGTTAAATATCGATCAATAAAGTGAACCTTGAAAAAACAAGGCTAAGAACCGATCAATAAAGAAAACTTTTATAATAAGGTCAAAATTTGGTTGATAAAAGAAATATTAGAACAAGCTCTATTATGATATTACCAATCGACCTAAAAAGGGAAACCTCATAAAAGTCATGAAACAATTATGCTGCTTTACCGGGGCCACATCGGCCCTAGCCATCCCCACCTATCACAAGGGGGCCAGCTTGCACCGTGACATTACCAGGGCTAATGTGGCCCTGGTAGTGTAGCATGTTTCCCCATAAAAAGGGAAAGCGAAAACTTTACAAAAAAGGATGAAAAACCTTAGAAATGAGGTCATAAACCATTATATTGAATAAAATAAAATAAAAACCATACGATAAGGTTGAAAACTATAGATAAAGAAATAAATCAAATGAAGCGTAGAAAAAAAATAAAAATCTGATGGTCAATTATATATCAAAATTGAGGTTGAAATCTGTACAACAATGAGTTCTCTATGTAGAAATTACTACCCCTGCTATCCGACAACTAATATTTATCACTATCTGTCATTGAACTGACCTAATATTGTTATCTTCACTGTCTCTAATTGTTAGCCAACTGTCTTCCCAATTCCAGTTAACCATCAATCCTGAATTCATCGACAACTGTTTCAACCTTTGGTTTGGAGAATTTAAGGTACTGTATGTTCGACTCTGATTGTACTGAGATTCTGATTCATCGATGAAGCTCCAAATGCCCTGATCAAGAATACTCGTTGGTGAGCCAGCAGTTTCTTTTGTTGATTTCTTCACACTGGATAATTCCTCAAGAAATGGATGTTTAACAAGTTGTGTAGCTGTCCATCTCTCTTTTGGATTCCTTCTTAAGCATTTATTCAAGAAGTCCTTTGCTTTGTCCGAAAGAAAGGCTGGAAACTCCGGTAATTCTTCCGACAAGGCAATTCGATAAAGCAGTGATGACGGATGGCTAAGATTAGGCCAAGGCAAATCGCCAGTCGCCATTTCAATAACCGTGCATCCTAATGCCCAAATATCAGCTGGAAATCCCTGCTCCTCCCCTCTTGCAACTTCCGGCGCCATGAACGCCGGTGTGCCTCCTATCGATGCTTCTTGGTCATCCCTTAAACCTTCCACTGGATTTTTTATTCTCTTGGCACAACCAAAATCTGAAATTTTAGCACCATCTTCTCCTATCACAATGTTTCTGCCCTTTATATCACAATGCACTATACCAGTTGAATGGAGATATTTCAATCCTTGGACAATTTGGCTTGTGTAGTGACTGATCATGGATTCATCAAGCCGGCCGCCACACTCGTGAGTGGCATCCACAAGCGTACCATAACGAGCATACTCCATCATCAAATCAAACATGATTGTACTATTGTATCGAGTATTATCAGACCCTATGTAGCCAACTACGAAAGGACTATTCAAAGTGGACAAAATCTTTTCCTCCCTTTTCAAGAACTCAGATTTTGATAGCTCAACCGATTTGACAGCGAACACATCCCCCGATCTTGAAGTGGCTATCGACACAGTGGCGGTGGCGCCGCGGCCTATAACGTGCCCTCTGGTCCACTCCATTTATGAGAGAAGTAAAATTGAATGGAAGAAGAAAGTTTAGATGAGGTGTGGTTGCTTATTTGGATGAGGTCTATTTATATGAAAGGTGAGTCCAAATTAGTTGGCCTCTCACCTTCTCTACCTCTCCCTAGAATATACTGTTCCTTTAACGAGAATTTAATAACGTGGCAAACTGTATGTGGGGATGAATTAGACAACTGGAGTAAGTGAACGGCAACTACTTGGCAAAAGGTCCTTTTTTCACGTGGCAATATTTTTATACAAAGTATGTGGAAGATGGCAATACGTTGGCCGATTTGGTTTGGTGTATAGATAGGATTGGATAATCCAAAATACTCCAATTGGTTTGAAGATTGAACTTCAAAATTCAAGTTGGGAGGGAAGTGGGTTCACCAAACCAATAAGTTGAATTTGACTTCTGGGTATTCCTCTTTTTGGTTAAAACTTAAAATCCATTTACAAGAATTAACCAAAGTCAAACACGGAATAGGTATTTTTGGCGAGTATCAATATTTGAATTAGATTTGTTATACACTAATGAATTGATATGTTATGTCATGTCATGTCATCGATGTTCAGTAGATCTTTTTTCTCCTAAATAGTTTGGTAAGAGTTCGAAATACTTGGCAAATTAGGAGAAGTTCCTCGTAATTTTGGAGTAAGATTAATAAATGAAAATTACATTATTAATTATTGACCAGAGCTAATAATTAATGATAACCTACCTTCTAGATGCAAGTAAAGAATCAATTTTGGAATCTTAAGATTTAAACCTGTGGAAATGAGTTGTTTGTTGCAGTGGCTCTTAACTTGAAAATCAAGGTATTAAAAAGTTAACAATATGAATGAAAATTAAAAGATGCCTAAAAAGAGCTAATGATTAGCAATAATTCAACTATTCCTTTTATTCAAATGTGGGTTACGTCTTCTAGTGTTAACTTTGTTAAGATGAATAAATTATGACCTTATATTTTATTCTAATCCATGTGAGATATTATTCACAGCGTAATTCCGTAAGATGTAGATTTGTTTGAGAAAAATTAATCTCGGCAAATGAATTTTCATTTGAATTTTTAAATAGTTCGGACAGTTCGTTTAAACTGTTAAGTTGTAATGAAAACAAAGAAAGAAAAGTCATCGTAGGAATCTAGAAGAACAAAGTGTTATGAAATTTGGTGAAGAAATGAAGGTGGAGTTGGTTTGAAGTACAAGTGATTCAAGAAGTTGTAACTAATTATACCAAATTGAAGACAAACCACTTTTCCATCACACTAAACAACAACATTACATGGAATTTAATTAGTTGTAAAGTAATTTGGCAAAATGGACCACTACATTCACTCCATTTGGATACCTATTCAAATTAGATTGATGGTTGGGCAGATTATAAGCATCTAATCTTACATTATCTCACATCACACATCACATCACATCTATTAATTTATTCATGTAAACAACATTAATTAATCTAACTTTAATATCCAACTGAAAAAATTTAACTGGAATTATATTTTTTTAAGTTTTAATTTCATAAATTAAGCATTAACTTCTTCTTCTTCTTTTCAAAATTCAAGTAATCCATGAATGTAACTAATATGTGACATATAGAAAGTCGCAATTAGACATCATATTAAATCATAATCACACAATTTATAGATCACAATCATTTACTAGAACAGGTCACAGTCGTATATCACCTAATTTTTTAATCTATTTTACAAGTTTATTAATCTAGAAATTGCATTCTTAAACTATTGCAGTTATGTAATTTTCCCTATCTAATTAATATTATATAGATAGATGGTATGAAAATATGAGGTCTATATGTTCATCTAAGTTTAAAGTTACATTTAATAAATATATTGATTAGTAGTACCATTATTGAGTTCAATGTGCTTGGTGACTCATGTAAGGAAGTAGAAGTTACGTAATAAATAATATTACCTTGTTTTATTGTAATGAAAAGGGACACCATCAATACTGTGCTAATGCGCCTAATGCCACGCAACTGACAATTAAAAACTTTTGAGCGTTAATTAGGAAGAAACAGTTGTGCTGAAATCTTATTTATGCAACACTAATATTTTTTAATTGTTGGTCACACAACCACCAACCATATTACTTGTTTAATTAATAGAGAGAATAAAAGGTTTGATTTGAATCATTTGATATTACCGTAGTTCAAGAGAAATGGTTATAGTTGAGTTGAAGAAAGAATTCTTTGTAGATAAATCATTCAGCCGTTCTACACAAACAAGGCCTGGTCACAGGGGCTGAGATGGCTCGGCCTCAGCCCCCGATATATATTTATTTGAATTTAAAAAATTCAGATCACGGGCTGGAGCTGAGAATTTAATAAATAAAAATGATTAATTGTTGTATTGATATACAATTACTAAAATAGATATGTTTCGCGCGGGTTAGTCGCTAACAATTAAAAAGGATCAGACGATTGTGTAAGGGACAAATCTCTTGAGACAAAGTCCCAAAAAGGGGGTGTTCTTTTATTGGTGATGACTTTACAATTGGAAATTAAAAACAATGTGCCTCCAAGGGGAGCAAGCACACGAGTTACTGAAAGAAAAGTGTTTAAGTCTAAGCTAAGGAAATGAAAATTACATGTTCTCTGTTCGAGAGTTTTTTATTTCTTTTTTCTTGCTCTATGTTTTTTCTCCCTTTTATACTTCACAGACGATCTCTTTGTGATCAACCGCCTAAAAATCGCTTGATCGTCCTATAACTGCCCACTTTCCTCATAATGGTCAACTTGTCATTAAAACTGCATTTTTTAACTGTTGCCATTACTCTTCGTCGTTCAACCGCTTTCGATTGAATTCCTTGAATCGTGGAACGTGATAGGACTGCTTTGATAACGGCACGTCTTGATAACCACAATGCTTTATATTTGTTAAGACCTTGGGCGATTTGAAGGTTTGGACGAGAATAGAGTAATAGCTCTGGGCGACTGTATGGCACTCCATTCGTTCAGATTCTGGGCGACTTGCAAACTTGGGCGATGGCGTTACCGTGTTCTTGGGCCTCCCTATTTGGGCCTTCATCTTGATTTGTTTGATTGGGCTTCGTTCTTTGGGCTATCTGATTTGGGGATCCTTCAATTGGGCTTCACTCCTTGGGCTGTTCGATTTGGGCTGAATTTTTATGTGTCAACAATTACCCCCCAATATGGAAGAATTAATAATAATTATTAAATTTTGCCATATTCACTTTGTGTTTCCAGCAACATTCGAAATTTTCAAGAATTTCAATCATTGTTTTCTTCTATAACTTGAAAAGGTACGTCGTTTTGCAAACCCTTATAAATCCCAAACACGCCATTTCACTGCACTATTAAACCACGCCTCAAATGTTTTGCGTCTCTCTCACAATTTACTGTTTATCTTTTGCTTCCCTGCTACGTAACCCTGAAAAACTTCGTTCCTTCTCAAATGGCTGCTTCACAATCTCAAGCTGGCGACTCCTTTAGTTTTGATGACTTTCAGAAACTTCTGAGTCGCCCATACATAACTCCGAGTTTTCTCGCACCCGCCGATGTCGAACGTAATGAGTTCTACTTGGGTCCTTTCTTCAACAATGCAGAGGGAGTTGAACAGGCGGCGGTGGGTCAGCTGTTTCCTTACACTCATGGCCTTCCTTTTCTAAACTCTCTGCCGCTGGGGCCACTTCGCGAAAGAGGTATTCGTACTTGGCCTAAATCTGATGTAGCTTTTCGTAGGTGGCATACTCGCCTTGTAGGTCATGGTCCTACTAAGGCATTTTTTGATAGCGCTAGGATTTTTGATTTGTTAGAAATCTCTATTCGTCCCCCTACTTTTGATTCAGCACTCTTTTCGATTGCTTTGAGTTTTTGGTCTCCTGAGTATAACACCTTTATTTTCCCTCTTGGCCCCCATGTTTATTACCTTAAGGGATGTTGGGGCCCTGGTGAATCTACCACCTTTGGGCGATACCATTTTTCCTGGTATCTTGGTTTCTGGTGGTGCCCTAAAGTTTGGTAAAACCTACACCGATTTTTATTCAAGCCTGCAAACCCTTCACAATCATTCGAGCGCTGACCCTTCCCATACTGAGCGAGTGGCTTTCCTTTTAGTTTGACTTTGTAAATATATTTTGTGTGTGCCAAGCATAAAGCTCTCCCTGAGTTATTTACCTATAGCGCACGAATTGGGGCGTGGCAGGCCTTTGAATTTATGTTCTTTGTTTTTGGCTGCCCTTTATAGAGGCATGACCTCTCTTCAAACTCAATTGAAGAATGGTGCATCTCCCACTGGCAGTGGACCTCTTTGGTTCACTCAACTGTGGTTGAGATCCTATTTTCCATTGCTTGGTGCTCCATCAATCTCTCACTCCTCTGCTAGCTGTTATGGGCTAGTCATGGAGCCCTTAGCTCCTGTAAATATGTCCAGAAGGGACATTTTTTCATTCTTTTATTCTTTGGATTCAATCCCTTCCTTTTTTCCTTTTCCTCCTTTTTTGACTCCAAACTATGTACATCCCCCTTCCACGATAGATAGCGCGAGCACCTCCCTGCTCATTTGGATCCAGTTTTTAACCGGGAGGGAGCTATTTCATGATATTCTAATTGGGACCAATGCCAAGGCGGGGGTAGAAATTTATGCTCCCCAATTTTTTGCTCTTCAGCTTGGTTTCGGCCAAACTTGGCCTGTTCCTCCTTGCTATTCAAGGAACTTAGTTGACCGTTTTTATACCATTAATAAGGCGGAGGCAGAGGCTATAGATGCTCGTAATCTTCTTTTAACCAGCCATTTTTCATTAGCCCCTTTCAATTCTAGCCACGTCATTCACCCTCTTTTTCAACAGCTCTGGCCGTCAGTGAAGCGCAGATTATTTGCGACTGACGCTAATCGTGTCTTTCATTCATTAGACCAACCGAGCATTTCTTTCCCTCCTCCTGTTTTAGTCACTCCCTTGTCCATTCAGAGTACTTCTCCTTCTCGTCGCACTAAAGAGTCTACTCGCCCATCTTCTTCTCTCCCTGCCAAGCCTACTACGGCTAAGAGTGCCCCAAGCCGCAAACGGCCAGCCTCAACATCTCCCATTCTGGAGGATGATGTTGATGATGATGATGATGCCCCTCTTATCGTCAGGAGGAAGGTAATTAAATTGGTTTACTCACAA